CCAGAGCTCCATGTACAGCTGTCATTGACATAAAGCGTGCTTCCCATCTTCATCTTCCTTTCCTGTCCTTCCTGCAGAGCATATCATCCTGTCACAGCTCTGTGATATTAGGAAATCAGACACAGAATTCTGTGTTCAGAAAATAACTTTGCCCATGTTAAGAAACAAACAAGAAAAATGGGGCTTTGGGAATGAGGGAAGCTTCCATCATACAGTAAGTACATTTCACAGAAGAACATGTATTTAAACTAAGATCTCATACAGAGGAACAAAAGAATTCACCATGACAAGGCTTAAGTGTTGTTCTTTCACTGTGGCTATTTAATGCAAAGAATAACTCATTGTTACATTACAGATGGAAGATCAAACATGAACAAAAGCTAAGACTGCGTGGTCATTCCTGGCTCCTCACAGAGTTTGTTGCAGAGTTTTGGACTGGGTGTCGAGAAAACTCCATTTCTTCTGGAAAACATTTAGTGAACAATTCTATCTTGATTGAAAGATGGATAAAAGGGTGGAAAGCACCCTATATTAAGTCCTTAAAAACATTATAGGGATTAAGGCAGATACAATATGACATAATGAGCCCTGTACAAAAAAAAAAAAGGGTTGCCCTGTAGCCTTTCAAGCAAGGCAGACACCCTGATTCAGAAGCCAGCACAGTGGCCCCCCTTGGCCACTCGGACCATTGTACCCACAAGACATCAATGTGATGGATGGCGAAGAAATGGCATTTATTGCAGGAGAATTTGACATTTTATAACCTAGGGTCATTGTGTTACCCCATCTGCTTTCATCACAGCTAGGTGCTATTGGCTAATTGCAGGAGTCATTACCATACTCTGTGGAGAAGGGGGGTTACTAACTTTCCATTACATCCCGAAATCTTCCGTGCCACCATGCCCTACTGCTACATTGCTCCCTTTGAGCTTTGCTGTAATGCATATAGAACAATAAATTATATACCAAACATTATCCAAAATAAACCATGGACCATATCTAGTGGTAAAAGAATTATCCCTGCTCCTCAGAACTTCTCTTTTTCATAAAGAGCAATCCCTCTAGACAGTCTGAAGAGAACTGAGTACACTTTTTTTCCTGTAACTGTGAGAACAAGAAAATAGGGCTAAAATTCCCATGTGATAAGTTCAATTTCAACAGCTGGTATTTTAATATGGCTACCTAGTTATAAAATATTTGCTATAAAATTTTTCCTTGTATTAATGAATTTTTTAATGTTTACAAGCTCAAAAACTGCTACAGAAAGAACAAATCAAAAATACTGGCTTGTAGGCAAACCAGTTTCCAGTGTTCTTCTAATAATTACAATTAGGGAGGTTAATGAAATTCAGCTATCAGATTAGTTTTACAACCTCTACTTCTCTAACTTGTACTACCATGACATCTTACAACAAGTATGGGGCAAATGGGTTAGATCTACAGAATAATATTATAGTCTCCCCTTCAGACTGATTTTTGGTCCTTTCTGATAATGTTTAAGAAAATATTTTAAAATTAATTGAAAGCCATTTAGCGCCCCCACCAAATTACTCCTCAATGATGCTGGAGCAGAAACACATTTTTTCCCAAATGCCCTTGATTTCTTCTCTGCACACACAGACATGCACTTAAGTAAAACTTTCCATTGAAGTGGCATTAGTTAGACACACAAGCATACCAAGTTGCTCTTAGGCTTCCTGCCAGAAAGCCAGCAGTGCTGATGCTTTCATTCATTTACTTTAAAGTGTCAGCAAAACAGGCAATTTATGGCCACATAAATATGGAGCCAACAGCCCATGACCACTATCTGCAGCAATACAGCACAGACACAGAGTGTGAGCCGGTCCCATTCCCTGGGACTGATTCATGTTGCTGAATACAGAATCAGAATACATTTAACCAAAGCATCTTCTGTAACACCATAATAAAATACATCACCAGTATGAGTGTCTAAAAAGTTATCAGGGAGCAGCATAAACAAATCCCATTAACAAAGAATGGGACTTGTGCAGGTGTCTATTATTCACCATGCTGAAAATTTAACCTGGGGATCTTATATCCATGCAAGCAGGATGCAGTTATTTCACATTGTGAAATGAGATTTGGTTTTTATCAGGATATTGAGATTTTTGTTACAAAATAAAGACCAGGGAGAAACATCTTTTGGTCTGATACAGTGTTGTCCTTGTGGACAGGGATTTTTAAAAGCATCCAAAAAAAGGGAGACATTTGAGAATTCATGTAATTGCCAGGAGCATCTGAAAAAGTATGTAAGACACAGCAACTGCTTTCATTATATGGTACCAGTTCTGCTTCAGAAGGCTTCAGGGATGTATCTGGCAAGAGAGAAAATGTATTTCTGACCACCAGTGTAGCTATTTTTCCGTATGAAAATGCAGCAGAGTTTGGATGATGCCACTTAGCTCTGCTAGGTGCTGATTGTCACGTGTGCTTCTCACATTGAAGTTGGAATTAAATAAGAGCAGTTTCAAATTGAGAGTAAGTTTCTCATGTAGCAGCAGTAATAATTATCTAATCTACAGACTTCATTTCCTAAAAATCAGAGAAATGTTACTAAGCTATTTTTGCAGCCAGAATCCTAGCAGGCTCTGCTAAGACTAGATATATACCACTAACAGGAGATATCTGCAGGGCATTGAGGCCCGAGATCAGCATGAAATCTGAGCATGAGAAAAAGTTCATCCTTGCCTGGGAAATTTCTTCATGTTTTTCTGTGCCTAAAGAAATGACTGAATTGGGGCATGAGTACCTTCAACTGACTTCATCATTCAGCAAGACTGACCTTCAGTTTATACCTTGGCATATTTTTCTTCCAAAAATAAAACCTTTAAAAATACTTTAAACAAAACACTTTTAAAAAGTATTTTTAAATTAAACAAAATAAACAAAACATTTTCCTCCTCCTGCATACTCTTGCTGAAGAGCATTATTAGAATATTAATGTGAAATCCTGACTTCTGAATAGAAACAAAAGAATTCCACTGATCATGGAAATGCAGCAATTTGCCCTTCAGCAGGAACTTGAACAGGGTGTAACAGGAAACACATCCCTGTAAAATAAAAAGCCAAGTTATATACACAGTATATCTTAAGGTCTTGCTTAGAAATTCTGTGCCTTCTGAATTTTCTAAAGCATAAGGGATCTGGAACCACAACAAGAAAGGTGTCTGCAGTTTTGGTCACACATTTGTTGTTGGAGATCAACTGAGAAACAAATAAACACTTCTCACTCCACTGCAAAGAAAATAAACAAACAAAAAACAATCCTGTCACTGAGATGTTCGGTCCTTTTTATAATGCCAGCCTTTGAAAGCTTCTTCCTTTTGAAGAAGGAACTTGTGGTATTAAAGGTTATAGCTGAAGTGCAAGTGTAATCCTATAATTAAATAATCTGCAGGCAATAACCAGGCACTTCTACAAAAACTCCAAGATATAGCAAATAAACACATTAGTATAATTAAATACTTCTGAGTATTAGACCTACAGCATGAAGTTGGTGTAGAAATAGAGACAACTTTCTCTAACAAAATATACATGCCAAGTTAGCTGGTTAGCTCATGTAAATGCCTTTACAAGGCAGAGTAGAGCCTTACTGTGAAATAGAATTCTGTAAAAATAAAATTAAGAACATATTAACAGTTTAGAAAAATTTAAGAATACTTAAATTTATTCTATATTTTCTTAAAATCCTTATATTCTTTCCTAAAACATAGAATATAGTCAGGTATTAATTAATGTTTTCTAATTAGGGATGCAGTTGCTTAAAGCAAATTTTTAAAAGCTGTTTGCCATTGTGTAATTTTTTTTTACTTTATTTTTCTGTATGGTAAGCCACATTTTTATTGGATGGATTGATAAAATAAAAATTTGTATTTTCTATCTTTTGTTATATATTCAATCATTCTATTGAAACTTGAGCTTCAGCATATGGATTGGGCTTTTTACATTGCACAGGGTTGGACTGGGATGTAGTTAATTTTCTTCACAGCAGACCGTATGGTGGTGTATTTTGAATTTGTGATTAAAAAACTGTTGTAACACATCGGTGTTTTGGCTACTGCTTACACAGTGTCAAGCTCTTCTCTGCTCCCCACTCTGTACCCCTGTCTGTGTCTGCTGCAAACTGTGTTGCCCATGTACATTTGTATTCTAGACTGCATCTGTTCTGGTTGAATAAAATCCAAGTCTCACAGCTGCCTTATCATTTTACATTAGTCAGCCTGCAGATCCCTAAGCAATGAAACAGTGCAAGAAATTAAAAGTTCATATTTTGGAGTAGGTAGTAAGCTTAAAAAGAGTCCATGTCAATAGATACTATTTTGCAGTTCACTACCAAAACAAAGTTCAACAATAAAGAAGTTAATTCTGAAACAGAGAAGACACAAAGTGTGTCACAGCTTCATCCAAGGAGTGTCACTTCCAATTAAAAGGCAAAAGAAAGGGGATGGTGAGCACCATGTGAATTTAGGTCAAACCAGATAATTATTTTTGTACATTTACTAATTCCAAAGAAAAACCTTTGGCACATGCTCCTGGTGTTCAGTAATGGACAGAGCTTTGTGGGCATCCACTGGCCACGCTTTAGAAGCTGGCAAAGGTATCAGAACAAACACAGCAATAGTCCAAGACTAAAGCAATTAAAAACATGAAATTTAGAAACCCTGTGTAAACACAGTCTCCCTGAAGCTATAGGAAGAGAAGAAAGTAGGCTTATATTATCTTGAAAATAATATTGAAAACATTACAGTCTGTTCATATCAGGAGTTTATAAATAAACATTATTTCCTTAACTTTCTAATCAAAACCAGATATAAGGAAGTCAATAATTGTCAGTGACTAAAAAGCTGACATGCCTTTCCAAATCTCATCATCCTCCAATACCAATCATACTATTCATCCAGCTTAACTATTATCTGAGTTTATGAACATAGCAATATGATTAGACACTGGAAGAAAGGTTTGTTTTGTATTTATCACAGGACTCCAATTGCTGCTGACAGGCCTGGCCTAAGAAAATTGACTACAGCTTTCCAGGATGACTGATTGGAGTATGATTAGGAAAGAAAACTATTTGCCTCCAGAAACAACAGCTGTGTTATGTAACTCTTGGACCACTGGCCAAGCCTGACCTGGCCAGCCACCACGAAGCACCAAACCAGCCATCAGCACCTAGCAGAAGCTACACCTGCATTGGCTACAGTGTCTCAGGCTGCAATCACACCCTATACGTAAAATGCTCTCCACAAGAAGAGTCGAGTAAAGTAAAGGCTGAGTCTTTCTCCAAACTAGTTAGAGTTAAACCTGGTAACACTAGCACTCAACAGCCCAAGTGCTGGCAGCAGATCACACACTCTCTTAGCTCTATGGACCTTCCTGAGGGTCAAACCAAAGGAGGAGAAGGAGGCACCAATACTTATTGCAGGAAACAGATTTGGATCTGGCAGCTGATTTCTAATTACACAGAAGTACTAGGGGACCCTCAGGACTAGTGGACTTCACAGGACCAAGGTGGTATTCTCTGCAAGACCAACTCAAACATATACTATGTGCAAGGCTCTTCAACAAAGGGACAAATGGATGCAGCTCCAGGAACAGAGCAATATCTCACACACACTTATGCAAATGTCCTTGTACTTCTCACATCCTGCTTCTTACATTTTCCTCCTTCAGTCTGCTAAACTCATTTAGGGACCAAATAGCTTGGCTCTGAGGGCTGGATTTGTCACTTAGGCTATATTTTGAAGCGCTCCAATCTAGGCTAGAGAAGGAGAAGAAAACTGGGCATGCCACACAGGAGAAATATTCTCCAGGTGCATGGGCAGTTTTAATGAGCTGTACAACACGAGCTTCCCAAACTGCAGAACATAAATAACTGCAGGTAAGAATACCCCTGATCATCATGATCACAGTGGTAGGTAGACAGTCAGCCCGACCTTGCAGATCCTGGGGATGCACTGATATAGGGCCTGTCTTTGCAGAGCATCTTCCACACATAAAGTTCCTATACACATTGGTTCCTACAAAGTAAAAATCCCTTCCCTAAAGTTATTTAAATACTTCTGCCTTCTACATGAGGAGAATAGTATCAGCAACTGCTCTTGAAAAATGGAAATAAGTAAACAACATGAATAATACAGCACATAGGAACTCATTGGTCTATGTACTGATCTCTGCTATTTCTGTGCTGGTGTTTATTGTAGATTAAATTAACTGGGGAAAAATTAGCATGATAGAGAAACAGATGAGAACAGAATACAAGAACAGCACAGAGAAACCACAACAGTTCAGTATTTAAAATCATGGGATCAGCTCTCAAATTAAACTGGAATTAAGAGGAATTCACCTCTTTGTTAGCTATGTCAGTTCACATTAACAACACAGTCTCTTACAAAGCAACTGAGAAATACCTGCCTCACATACAAAGTTGTCAACACTGTTGTGGTTGGAGAGTCAGTTTTGCCAGCCCATCCAACAGGGATTATCCACTAAAAATTAACTTTATATGCAAAATTAAGAGAAAGTTACCAATAAAAAGCAGTTGACATACTATATACACCTTATAACTTCCAAAGATCTGGTGACAGGAGATAACTCCTATTTTGATTCGAAGTCATGCAATTTCATGAAAGGTTTTATGGATATTATAATTAGTAATGTATTATTAGAACCATTTTTTTTCAAGAAAATAAACCTTAAGTCATCCTTTCCTCCAGAAAAATACATATGTTGCTTATTATATTTCCAAATTAATATAGTATTTCTTTAAAGAAAAAGAGCTAATGTTGAAACCAAGATTTCAAAAACTCTCAACAGAGGCAGTTTATTTATAGGAGCTTATAGCCTTTAAAAATAATCAATAGAACCTCAATATTTTCTTGATCACAATAAAAATTTCTAGTTCGTAGTCATTTTCATAATTCTTTATGAAAATAAAATTCAAAATGTACTGTAATAGTTAGAACAAAACATCTGACGAGTACTCAATTACTGCTTAACTAAAACAATACCAATCTCAAGAATACTTGATGTAATGTCCCAGTCTACACATAGAAGGCTACCATGGAGGTCCACTGTGACTCTTTTCCTCCAGAAAGACAAACATCCTTTACTTATTGCAAGTGATTCAGAACAGTCTGCATAAAGTGAGACATAGCAGAACAGAGTACAGCAGAGAAACAAAGAGCTTCTGTTTCCCCAATGCACCTTTTTTCATAAAACCTTGTTTGCAGATATGGAAAAGAATTTCCCACTGTTTGTAATACTCTTTATGAGGAATTTTCATTTGCCTGCTAATCAAGATTAAATTTGTGAGGAAAAAGATAAGAATGAAATTTCAAGCCTACCCATCAAACACAGTTCTTAATTTGGCCATTGCTTTATAACAGTAAGAAAAGATAAAGAGGTGATCCTAAGAGGGAAAAATTGTTTAGGTCAGGCCATATAGAGTTCATAAGGGGTTAAAGTACACATTGACAAAAACAACTAACCCACCTAAATATAATGTAATAAATTATTTCACTTAGTAGAATGTCTTTGATTTACTTGAATGTTAATATTCTGCAGAGACAACTAATTAAAAGCAGAAATCCTCAAATGGGAAGTTCGTAATTGTTACTTGCAATTGTACCCTCTTCAGCAGTTATGTCAAACTCATTACGCTGACAAAACAACAGATTCTGTCCTTATCTAAAAATAAAAAGTTTCCTTTTATTGGAAAGATACCCTAAAAATGTATTGCCTATGCATCTTTTATACAAGGTAACAGTCTGGATCCGGCTGCCAATCGCACTTCAGCCAGGTGCAAAACACCCTGCTGAATTCTTGGCCGTGTGAGCAGGAGCTCACACAGGGGAACGGGGAGCCCCTGGTGCACCCTGACCCCAGCAAGGCTGCAGCTCACACTGAAGCCTTGTGCAACTCAAGCCGCAGCTTCAGAAAACCAAGCTGAGTTTTCTTGTCATTTGCCACCTCTGACTCCTGCAGACATGCAGGATGCTGCTTCATATCTGCCTCTTATGTGCAAGGCAGCATCCCTTCTTCACAACAATTCAGAGTGAGGTATTCCTCCAGGTACCAGATTAAAGGTGATCTGCTGCTGCACAGGGAAAACATTTTACTAGGCTGCCATGCAACTGGGGCACCAGTGCTGAAGTCTTTGACTAGCTTCTAAAAACCTGCCAACAAGCACAAAAATCAGGGATTTCACAATGAAGGGAATGGTTTGTAGTATCTTTGTTATTCAGGGAAATCACACTCCCCTGCAGAAGACCCACAACAAGTGCAGGAGCTGATAACCCGACAGGGTGCCTCAGGGTGCCATCAGGGCTTGTGTGGCTGCAGGATACATATTACCTGATGCTTATCAGAGTTGCAGGAAGTAGATATCATGGACCCAAAACTGTTGATTTTTTGGAGACATTTGGGGTACGACATTGAATCACAGCGAGTAAGAGATGGACATTACCTTATATCAGTACAGACTCCCTAAAATGACAAAAAAGAACCTATCTTACACTTGTGCTTTGTTGTCCTGGTATCATTCTCTGTGCTAGAAAGCAGAAGGGCTGTCCTCCAGAACTAGTACAGTGTCTTATTTGTCATTCTTGCCTTGGGGATGCTATTTGTCATTTAGGCTGCCTGGTCTGCATGCCACGTACCTGACAAAGCAGAGCTTTACAGCAAAGAAAACCTAATCATTATAATAGAAAAAGTAAACTTAATTAGCTGATGTGTTTTGTACAACAATACTTTTAGAAAATGCAAAAATTTCAGATTAGTCACAACAGCCATACTATTTGGTTTTTTGAGATGAAAAACATAACAAAAATGGTGGAAACTGACCTCTTAGTGCCAAACATGATGGTGCGGGCTTGTTTCACATTTATGAACGCAGTGCTCTGCACAGGCTGTTTATATTGACCTGGATGAGAAGAAAAAGATATTTTTAAATCAAGAAACTCAGGACCTTTCTTTTAATATCCTGAACAATAAGTACATTAGTAAACATCTTCCAGTGAAACTTCAGAGAATACCTGGCAATTTCACAGAAATAAAAAGGTTAGCAAAAGTATGCAAAGGTTAACAAACACAAGATGAAAGTTAAAAAAGACTAAGACCAAATCCCACTAGTATGGCTTAAACCTGACATTATTAGAGCAGTTACTCAACAAGAGTTAGGCATAATAGTATATGATAGTGCAACATCTAAAAGTCCTTATCTCTTACAGCGCACAACTGAAATGCATGTGCTTTAAAGCAGCTAGACAGGTCTTCCTGAATTTCCAGTCTGAACAAAGTTATATAAATTTATATATATATTTTATATTTTATATAAAATCATATTTATATAAAATACAAAATCATGAATATCTTAACTATGTTTTGGTGCTCAATTTGTTGAATGACTATCTCAGTAAATTAGTAATTTTTCCAGAAAGAAAGCGCTATTATAAATAAGAAAAAGAGATTTCCTGGTGTGGGTCTACATAATGCAGACCTCAGGAATTATTATTATTATTATTATTGTTGTTGTTGTTGTTGTTATTATTATTGTTGTTGTTATTATTATTATTATTCCTCCAAAGATAAATTCCAAATTTTACATAGAAATATGAGATTACAGAATATTAGAATAATTAGGTCAGGAGAAACTGCCTAGTCTAGCCTTCAGCTCAGAGCAGGTATAATTAGATCAGGCTGCTCAGGGGTGTGTCCACTTGGGTCTCGGGTATGTCCACAACCTCTTTTGGAAACCAGTTACTGTACCTCATCACCAACACGGTGAAAATATTTTTCCTACCATCTATCATACTTTTCCATATTATACCCTGTGTCCACTGCCTTTTATCATATCTGTCATATCTTATCATATCCATCTCCACTACACCCTTCATTCAGGTACTTGTTGACAGTACCAAGGTGATCTCTTCCCATCTCTTCTCACCCTGAGCTGATCCAGTTCTCTCAGTCTTCTGTTGACTGTCATTTGCTACAGTCACTAGACCACCTCATTTGGTCTCTGGAAGTTGACATCCTTCGTGTTCTGGGAGCCCAGAACTAGACATGGTGCTCCACAGTCAGTCTCACA